ATCCCTTAATCCCGCTCAAGGAGCACAGAGCAAGTTCTCCGCTCAGGACCGGCCCTGTCGGCTGCCAGTGCCGGGCTCCAGCCGGGCACTCCCATCCGTCTCCTCCTCCTGGCACGGAGAGCAGGACCCGTCCCCGAGTCCCTGTGCGGGAAGCGGGGCCGGGCTCGGGCACGTCCCTCTGCTCCTGCTCCGTGCCGGGGCTCGCTGCTGCTGCCGAGCCCCGACCGCCGGGGCTCCGGTTCCTCGGCAAAGCCCCCGCTGGCCCTGAGAGAGGCGGGGCAGCTGCCGGGGCACGGAGCTCATCCCTGGGAGCTGCTCCTTCCTGGCAGCGGCGGCTGGGAGCTGCCTCAGCCCGAGCTCGGGCCCTGGGGAGGAACGCCCGGATCGTCCCCGGCTGCTGCCGCTGCGGCCCGGGCACCGGCAGCGCTTTGTCCCGCGGGGCCGGGCGGGTCCGTGGGTGCTCTGCGCCGCGGGAGCGCCTGGAGCCGGGAGCGGCACCGCTCAGTGAGCGGGAGGCGGCACAACAAACCCGGCTGGGGATAATGGGATATCGCATTGGGGATAGCAAGGCATTGCAGATAGGCTGCGTTGTATGGCTTCGTTTCAGGGGAGGCTTCCTGCCTCCTTCGCCCACGTGTTCTTTGCTAGTCTGAAGCAGTTCTCACAACAGAATGAAATGTGTGACAGGTCCGTTCCCTGTCACCATCTGTGGGGATGTCCACAGTCAATTCCACCATCATATGAAACAAATAAATTGGGCATTTTTCTGGTCTCGGAACCGGAGTCTTAAGTCCTGTGGGTGGTTTTTTTTTTGTTTTGTTTTTTTTTTTTTTTTTTTTTTTTTTTTTTTGGTGGTGGTGAAGGTGAGGAGGGTTCAGGGACAAAGTCCCCCCCACTTGGCACTTGTGTGTCCCATCTGGGCAGGCCCAGGGCTGTGGAACCGGGACTTCAGCGCTGCGCTGTGGGACTGCGGAAGGAGGCTCGCCCAGCCTCGAGCGCAGAGCCCAAGTGCCGCATTTTGGGGCCCGGGGACCGAGCCCAAATCCGTGTGCGAGCGCCCGGAGCACGGAGCGCTGGCCCGGCGCTGTCCGGGCCCGGGCCCGGCTCCCGGGGGCGGCTCCGGGGCTGAGAGCGGCGCTCAGGCGCTCCCGCGTGGGGCTCCGCGGCGGAGCCGCAGCTCCGGCCGAGGCTCTTCCCGGAGCCGCGACACTCGTGGGGCCTCTCCCCGGTGCCGGTGGGGCGGCGGGTGCCGAGCCGGGAGCGGCGCTGCGGGGCTCGCGGGGCCGGCGCTGGGGGCTCGGAACCGGCCCCGCCGCGGTCTCCGGTGCTGGAGGCGCCGGGGCCGTTCCGGGCGGGCAGGGCGGTGCCGGGGCGGGGGCGGTGCGGAGCCGCGGTGTCCGCCCCGGGCCGGGCGGGTCCCGGCGGGGCCGCCTCAGGTGCGCGGGGCGGGGCCGGGCAGGTGCGCGGGGCCCCAGGGCGGCTGCGCGGGGCGGGCCCGAGGCGATTTAAACCCCGGGAGCGGCGCCCGCCGCCATTTGCTCCCTCAGTGCGCGGTGGGGCGGCTGCGGCCGGGCCGGGCTCCACGGCGGGGCCCAGGTGAGGCGCGGGAGCCTCGGCTTCCCCCCCTGCTTCTCTCTTCCCCTTGTTTTCTCCCTTCCTCTCTCCGCCTTAACTCTCTCCCCTCCCTGCTGCCCGAAAAGCCCCCATTTCTCTCCCCCCTTGCTCTCCTCTTCCTCCCCCGCAGACCTACCTGGTCTTCCCCTGTCCCTCCCCTCCCTGCACACCTCGATCCTCCGCTCCATCTCTCCTCCTTCCTCCTCCTTACCCCACTGTCTTTCTCCTCCTGAACCCCCCTTCCCTCCTCTCCCTATCTCGTCCTACGTACCCCGACCCCATCCCAGCCCTGTTTCCTTCCTTCTCCTTCCCCCGGCACCCAGCCCGACCGCCCCCCATTCCCCCTCTGCCTTTCCTACCTGCACCTCCCTCCCCCTCTTCCCTACAAACGCCGACCCCGCTTCTGTTCCTCCTTCTCATTCTCCTTCCACCTTCTCTGCCCCTCCTGACCCAATCTCCTGACCTCTCACCTCCCTCTGCCCTCTCTATTCCCCCATTCCAATCTCTGTGTCCCCTCCTGACGTCTCCTGTCACCTCCCTCTGCCCTCTCCATTCCCCCATTCCGTCTCTGTCCCTGTGTCCCCTCCTGACCTCTCCTGTCGCTGCCCTCTGCCTCCCTGTACTCTCTCTGTCCCTCTGTCCCCCGTTCCCCTCCCTGTGTCCCGCAGCCGCGGGGTTCGGGGCGCCGCACAATAAAGCCCCGAGGGCCGGAGCCGGCGCCCCTGTCTCGGTTGAAAAGGGTCGGGACCCGCTGTGGGTCCCCCCTTGCAGATGCCAACACTGCCCCACACTGCCGGGTTCGGCTGTCCCTGCATCACACTGGGGTCAGGGCGGGCCCCTCCTCAGGAGGGGTCCTGGGCTGGGCTGGGTTAGCGAGGGGGGGAGTGGGGGTTAGGGGGGGCCCCTCATTAGGAGGGGTCCCGGGGAGGGCGGGGAAGGGGGGGAGGGCGGGGGCGGAGGGAGGGTGGGCGGGGGGCCCCCTCCGGAGGAGGGGGTCCCGGGGGGGGGGGGGGCGGGCCCCCTCCGGAGGGGGGGGTCCGGGGTGGGAGGGGCTGGGGGGGTCAGCCCCCTTAGCCCCTCCCACCCGGGACCCTCCCCTCCGGACGGGGTCCGGCCCGGCCCCTCCTCGGGACCCCCTCCTCCGGACAGGGGCCCCGGGGGGGGGGGGGGGGGGGGGGGGGTCAGGAAGGGGGGAGATGCTGTTGTTGCGCACAAATGTGTAATCGCGGTTCAGAGTGACGTGACCCCTCCTGCTACCCCCCCCCCCCCCCCCCCCCCGCGGGGCCCCTGTCCGGAGGAGGGGGGTCCCGAGGAGGGGCCGGGCCGGACCCCGTCCGGAGGGGAGGGTCCCGGGTGGGAGGAGCTAAGGGGGCTGACCCCCCCCAGCCCCTCCCACCCCGGACCCCCCCCTCCGGAGGGGGCCCGCCCCAACCCCCCCCCGGGACCCCCTCCTCCGGAGGGGGCCCCCCCGCCCACCCCACCCCCTCCCCTCCCTCCCACCTCCCCACCCCTCCCCGGGACCCCTCCTAATGAGGGGCCCCCCCTAACCCCCACTCCCCCCCTCGCTAACCCAGCCCAGCCCAGGACCCCTCCTGAGGAGGGGCCCGCCCTGACCCCAGTGTGATGCAGGGACAGCCGAACCCGGCAGTGTGGGGCAGTGTTGGCATCTGCAAGGGGGGACCCACAGCGGGTCCCGACCCTTTTCAACCGAGACAGGGGCGCCGGCTCCGGCCCTCGGGGCTTTATTGTGCGGCGCCCCGAACCCCGCGGCTGCGGGACACAGGGAGGGGAACGGGGGACAGAGGGACAGAGAGAGTACAGGGAGGTAGAGGGAGGAGAGGCAGGAGGGGCAGAGAAGGTTGAAGGAGAATGAGAAAGAGGAACAGAAGCGGGGTCGGCGTTTGAAGGGAAGCGGGGGAGGGAGATGCAGGTAGGAAAGGCAGAGGGGGAATGAGGTGCTGGGAGGGGTGCGTAGATTCGGGTAGGGAAAGACGGAACGTGGGTTCAGGAGGGGAGAGGGAGCGGGGTAAGAAGGAAGAAGGAGGGGTAGATTAGAGGGTCGGGGTGTGCAGGGAGAAGACGGAAAGGAGCAGTTGAAGGGAGGAAAGGACAGATTCAGGATGGGAGACAGAGCCGGGTAAGGCGTAGGAGGGGAGGAAGAAGGGGCAGAATGGGGGGTCAGGGTTTGTAGGGAGGCAAGGGCAGGACGGAAGGGGTGTTCAGGAGCAGAGAGGGAGCGGCGTGAGGGCTGGGAGGGGGAGAAAAGAGGGACAAGAGGGGGAGACCTCACCTGGGCCCCGCCGAGGAGCCCAGCCCGGTCGCTGCCGCCCCACCGCGCACTGAGGGAGCAAATGGCGGCGGGCGCCGCTCCCGGGGTTTAAATGGCCTCGGGCCCGCCCCGCGCAGCCGCCCTGGGGCCCCGCGCACCTGCCCGGCCCCGCCCCGCGCACCTGAGGCGGCCCCGCCCCTGCCCCGCCGGGCCCCTCGCCCTGCGCTGTGCGGGATCCGGCCCGAGGGGGGCGCTCTCGGCGGGGCCGGGCCGGTGCCGGACATTCACGCCCGGGTCCTGCCCCGGTGCGGCCGGCGCGGGGCTCGGGGCCCCGGGCGCTCTCCCGCTCCGGCCGCGGGGAGCCGGAGCCGGGGCAGCCCCCGGGATCCCGTGCTGAGCCCGACCGCGGGCCGGGCTCTGCCCGATGCCCCAAACGCGGGGTCCGGGCTCGGCTCTGGGCCCCGAAACCGGCCCGGGCCGAGCCCCAAAAGGCGGCACCGCGGCTCCGCCGCCCGCCCCGGAGGCAGCTCCGAGTCGCTGCTCCTGAGCTCCCCCGGGGCCGGGCGGGCCCCGCACTGTCGGGCTGTGCCCGGGGCAGCCCCCAAAATGCAGGACTTGGTCTCTCCGTGTGAGCCCAAAGCAGGCTGAGTGATCCTCAAGCCCGGCTGAGTGGTTTCAAGGTCTCAAAACACAAGACTTTGTTTTTGAGGCCCTCAAATAAACATTTGGTCTCTGATTTAAGCCCCGAAAAGGCACAGGGCTTAGTCACTAAGCGCCAAATCAAGCCATATGACTCTGGTTTCAGTGTCCAAAATGCAGGATTTAATCTCTGTTTTAAAGCGCTGAATCTGAATTTTGCGATCCCTAAATGCAACCCTTGGTCTCTCTTTGTGACCCCAAAAATGGATCAAGTGAGTCTGATTCTGAGCCCCTGAAACATAGCAGTGGTTTGGGTCTGTGAAAGCCCAAAACTGCTTTTCTCAATTCTGAGGCCCCAAAGCCATCACTGAGTCATGTTCTGAGCCCCTCAAACCCAGTGCCTGAATTACAATTCATTATTTTTATATAAATATTCCTCTAACTGCTAAAGCAGAAGGGAAGATCTAACAGGTTTTCCTTTAACAGATTTTTTTTAACTTAAAAACCTACACAGAAATTACAGCTTATATGTCCATACTTCTGAAGTATTTAACAATTCTTCTAAATATATTTATTTTTTCATATTACTGATTTGAACAGAGGAAACGCAGTATTTTGCATTTGACCTCCAAAAATACTGAAACATGCTTTAATGTAGAAACATTTTCTGAGTAATTCTAAGAAGTGAAGCACAGACAGAATGGTGCTTGCCCATTTCCTCATGGAGAGCAGTGGCGGGTGCTGCCAGATCTTTCTCCTTGAGGAAGTGCCAAACAGGAGCTGTGACCAGAGCCTGGAACAGGGCTGGGGTGATGATTAAACAATGAATCGGCATCAGTGCTGCTCCCCGGGATTTCAGTGCTGCATGGGTTGGGCAAGACAAATTCCAGGGGTCTGGAAGCCAGGTTCCTAAGAACCCTTTGGCAAGAAGGGAGGCCGGTACATCCACCGTTACAAAAGGTGGCTGTGAGGAATTTCTCCATGCTCTCCCACTGGTGAGACACTTCTTGGGCACTGTGGGTTGTTACAGCACAACCTGGAAGACTCGTGGCAGAACTTGTCCTTCCGAAGAGTGAGTTACTATGAACAGGGTAAGTATGACTGAGGGTAATGGCCACAATCCCTGACAGCCTCAGGTGTGGCAGCAGTGGATTTCCAAATGCCTCCAGCCAGGGACTGGGAACCTTGGCTGAGCACAGAGCCCTGAATGAGCCTTGAGAATCTGGTGTCAGGCACTCTGCAGAGGTCCCATAAAGGCACCTCATCACCTCTGCCCTGACACTTCACAGCCCCTTGTTAACCCTTCTCTTTTTATGGCCCTGTAGGGAAAGGAGTTGATCCTACTGAAATATCCCTGAGGCTGCCAGCGAGGAGCTGCAGAGCTGCCCGAACACAAGTGCAGAGGCACACGTTCTCTGTGGGGATCAGCGTGCTCTGACAGGGCTGAAGCTGCTCCAGCTCCACGGGACAGGGACACAGAGCAGCCCCAGCACAGCCAGGAGGCTCTGAGCTGACGCCAGGCTGATGGGGAACAGCGCTTGTGCCAGGATTAGCACCGGCCCCTGACAATATCACATTTACACTCATTCTGTGTAAATGGGGACTGGCTGACAGTTCCCTGCATTCCAGTTTGGAAGAAGGAGTTTTGTGTCTGACTTTTTATTTTCAATACTGTGGGTCTGCATGCCCTGCTGACACACCTTCGATCCATCCCATTCCCTTCCATTTCAGTTACAGATGAGGAAAGCTAAAGTAGCAACACTGCTTTTTTTTTTTTCTGTTATGCTTTTGGCTTAGTCTTATCAATCTGGGTTTAGTTTCTGCATTCATTTCACTGCTTTCATAAAACCGACTTGGCAAGTTTCGATGACTGATAAGGAATGAACTTCTCTCACCACAGCTACTCTGATATGATTTTTTTACATCCCTTTGGACTGAACAAATGCAGAAGATATTACTGACAATTTTAAAATGAGATAATAAATCTTGGTAAGGTTTTGCATACGTATGTACTCAAGAAGTCAGAGTTTTATCAGAACATAATCTGAATGCTCTGAAAATTTCCAGAGGCCTCACAAGTATGAAAATACTTTTCTCAAAGTCACAGGAGGACTAAAAGTGAGAGACAGATATTACTAAGGGAATAAAAAAAGAGAAAGAACCAAAAGGAAAAGCACCAAGTTATTTCAGTGTAAGCACCTTAAACAACTGGCATCTGTTCTTAAGTCTTGTGTAACAAATTGTAGCACTGTGCAATAAAGTCCAATCGGTTTCAGTATCCTGCAAGATTAGACATCTCTAAGGAACCTTGACAAGACCTTTGGTGTAGCAATGCAGTACTTCCCCCTCAAAGAACAAATGAAAGTTCCTGGGATGTAATTAAAGAACAATTTTGGCAGCTTGGGATGCAAATACAGACATTTCAGGTTATGCAGAAATAAGCTGGAAGCCCACAGAACATCACCAAAATAGACTAAAGGAGACTGACTGATGTTTGTCTAAATGGGCCTGAAAGGAAGAGAAAAGGGTGGGAAAGAGAGAGGACAGGAGTAGCTGTGGTTCCTGAAAACATCTCTTCTTTGTCCTAATTTTTTATCTTAGTCGTCTGATGATGGAGACAAAACTAACCAATCTTTTCATTAATCCTTCACTTATTTAGAATCTTGTTAGATACTAGTACTTGCATATGCAAATTTGTTATTTTCATTGGTCTGTGCCTGTATTCTGTATCAAGCAAAGCTTTTCTTATGTTACCTTTCAATGGTGTTACAAATAGTAGGGTCTCCTCATTGAGCATACTTGGTTAGTTCAATACTTCCAACTGTTCTTCATCTCTTATCACTTTTTGATTCAAGAAGAAAATTTACTGAAAAGAATAACAAGGAAAACCAAATATTTTAAAATTGGTCACTTAGTTGCTGATGTCTATCTAACAAAGCCACCTTTGGGTTATTTTGGCAACATAGTAAATTTAGGAGGTAGCTGATCTTAAATGGGGCATTTATGGATAAAAAAACCAGTCAAACTTAAATCAAGACTTGAAAAGTTAGGACACAAACTACAGGGAGGAGCCAAGTCACGAAGAAGTCTCTTTCTCATACAGCCATAATTCACTAAGGGAGTGTTTGAACATTTCTATGACTCCAAGAGTTTGGACAGAAGGAATGGGGAAGGAAATGCATTTTACCATTTAGCCTATACATGGTGGTCTCCTCCTATTCAAAGATGTAAGCCAGAAAAATGAAGAGGTGAGAAGTACATACAGTCCAAGGTGTAAACAAGAGACAGGCATTTAATTCACTTCTATCACTTTTTGCATGTACTGATGTTTAAAACAGTATTGTTTAATGACACTGTATTTTTTCTCAGGTACCTGAGTCCCTCATTACTGCTGAAGCCATTTGAAGAGATTATTCCATTTTTACATAATTTCTGCAGCACAATGAGGAAATCCCACAATGGCTACATGAGCATTCTGGCCATTGCTTGTGGTTTGAGGTGTGGTGAGTTTCCTGGACTGTTGTGAAAGAAAATCATGTACTGAAGGTGTAAGCCAGCAATGAATTAGTAAATAGCTGCTCCTCTGAAAATCAGCTCATTAAGAAGCAGACATCTGAATGAAGTATGGCTCCTGGGGAATCTGTGGCACCACACATGCCAAAAAGAACAGCATGAAACCTTGTTATGTGCCATGACCAAGCAAAAGGATTTTCTACCTAGGCAGGATCTGTGGTTAATATTCTGCTCTTGTGCTTTGCCCACTGAAGCCCTGGCATGCTTTTGTTAATGGTGTAGTTCTTGTTCAGCACATTTCCATGTGAGCAACTGCGAGTGGCTCCGTCACCCTGGGCACAGAACGGAGCCCAGCTGAAATGCCAGAGGCTGCAGCTTTCTTTGTGACATGAAGAAAACCAAAGAAAAAATATTACTTTTTTTTTTTTTTTTTTTTCTGTGACAAAAGCCTCAACAATAGCTTCCTTCTTCAGTAGAATGGTGTTGTATGGATATATTACAGCTGGTTGAAAGACTCCAAGATTATTTATGTTTTAATTAGCTTTTTGTTAGTTTTTTTTAGTCATAAATAGCCAAATGACACAGTATTTGTGTAACTTAGCAATATCCAGCAATATTCACAGCTTAATTAAATAATTCACATGCCACTCTCTAGTCATGATGCAAAAAGATCAAAAGATAAATTAAATAATCATAGCTCCCTTGGCCAATTTCTTGGGGAAAAAAAAAAAAAGGCAAGCTCGGTTGAGACAATATGGCAAATAATGTTTTCTGCAAAACAGCAAACCAAAACACATCATTACTCCCACGTGGTAGGAAGCAAGATGCATTTCCAAAGCACACTCTTACCATGAGCAGCAGGCATGTAACTGAGCAGCTGCACCAGTCAAACAGGGGATTTGACTATCATGAACTGAAATGAAAGGGAGGAAGGCAGGAGAAGGGATGAAATATCACCAATTCAAATTGCAATTTCCCAGGCAACTTTTTTTATTGCTTGGAAATTTGTGAAATGTGACAAATAAAGAATTGATTGAGAATGCCCACTGCACTGAGATCTATCTCTGCCAACACGTGCATAAGTAGGAATCAGCACTGGAATTAACCTCAGTTAAATTAGACAACCATGCCAGCGGGAGTGAGGAATGAAGACATAGATTTAGTTGCTATAAATCTGCCAGGATTTGGGTTTTTTTTTTCTTACATCATGGCTTTATTATCTAATCACCCTGTTGGGATACGTGCATACTGCATGCAAAAAAATATGTACAGCAACAAAAATCCAGAAAGTTGCTATAGATTGCTTTACATTGTGTTTAGCAGACATTATCCCACAAGTGAAGAACTTCAAATAATAATAGTTTTCTCTTGACCAGGTTCTCTGCTATGGTGATGTTATTTATTCTGGTGTCACACAAGCAGCATTATGCAAGACAATCTACTGGTGGCAGCACAGCCATAAGTGTGTGTCACCCGTGCGTGCCATTTGTTCACATTTTTCTATTGCATATTTGAAAAAGTGAAACCTAAACAAAACTGCCAAGATATTATATTCCTTGAGAAGAACATGGTTTATGTGGCAGCTTTACCAAAAAACTCTGGAAACCAGTGCTTCAGTCTGTGAATAAAGATGTAGGCACAAACACTGCTCAAGCAGGGTGAAGACCACCCTTGGGCAGAAGTGTTTTGGAGCTGCAGTGGTGAAAGGATGGGGATGTGCTTTGTTTTGCAGAACATTTGGGTGTGTATAACAGGCCTGTCTAAACAGAATTGGTGTGTCTGATGGCTGATCCAACGTTCCAAGGAGGTCCTCTATTCAGAACTTGTTTTCCTTCCCGCTTACCCTGCTTTGTGTATTGTGCTAGATTACACTGGTTTCGTAAGTGGCAGTCACAGTTTCTGTCCATCTGGATATGTTTTGAGGCTCTGCATGTAACAACTGTGAAGGGGGAAAATAGTGAAGTATGCAGCCAGTCTGAAGTGGTTATCTTAAGCTTTAACCTACTGTCACCAGCAAGGCACAAAACATTCTCCACAGGCCATGTAAAACTTATTTCATTTGTACCTTAATACACAGGGAAAAGCATTCTCTTATGAGATAAGAGATTATCTATTTGTATCTGTAATCGCTTCATGAATGAAAATTATTATAATATAAAAGTCATACTAAGTGTCTACATATTGAATCTTGATTCAGGACATGTATAACTGAATAAGTTATTTGGTTAACTCTTGCACTTGTCTTACAGCTTGCTTTTAATCAAGGAGATTTTATACTTTTCAATATTTTTTAGTTAAAAAAAATTATTCTCATGCTATTCATTATGGGATGCCAATCAGTTTTCAAAACACTTGTGCATGCTTGTCATGTTTTTCCATGTTTATTTTCCATGTTATCCCAGACTAAATTACCCTGTCAATCTCTACCTCCTAGCTCTGTGATGACAGATGATGATAAACATCTGGCTAGGCACGAGCATGGTTCTGCACACGAACTGCTCAGGTGCACACCCTGAGTCTGTGCAGGCCTTTTAAGGTCAGTGAAGTTTGGACTGCTCATCTTTAAGTGTTAACATCGGCAGGTACCTGTGTCAGGCTCCAAGTGATCCAGGGCACAAAAGATGTGGCACGTGGCCAGTCCTGGTCCCCAGCGTGCCACTGCACTGCCCCACTGCTGCAGGCTTCAGCTCCAAATCACGATGCTGCCCAGGTGTGCTTTTTGATCTATTGATGAACACACAGCAGAGGAGAAGCCAAATCACACAAAACTGTCTTGTTCTGATCTATGAGGCAGTTAGCTGCCATCAGCCCTCAGAGCAAAATAATACCTGGGCCAAGAAAAGGGCTCTCGACACAGCACCTGAAGCTGTGCCTGCAACTCCAAGCGTGATTTAAGTCTCTCTCGTTCATGCACAGCCTTATGGTACTTCATCCCTTGGCTACCCCAGATAGGTTGATAAATTCTTTTCTTTGCCATCTGTAAGAGAGGATTGAACCATGCTGGGCAGGAGAAAACCTCTTCTGCTGGGGGAGGGGGGAAGAAGTTACTGCGAGACCATCATAAGGCAGAGATGCTGTTGAAACAGCAAAGGATTTTCCTGAAGGTTCTTAGTACCCATCTGCAATAAATTTTTATGAGGGTTTGGATGAAAAAGAGGCCTGGGCTAACAGCAGGTTAGTGGTTTGGAGAGCTGCACAGCACAGTTACTGGCAAATCCTTGCTTTATCCATCCTGACAGGTCCTGCCATACTATTTATTTTTCTAATGCAATAATATAAATCACTGTCAGGTCATCAGCATTCCCACAGTTTTCCAAAGCATATTTGTGTCTGCCAAAGGTTCCCGCTGGACCTCTAGGCCCATAGGATACTATATAAGCTCCTTTAATGAAGCATGTAGTGCTGAGCTGTGCTCTGCTCCAACATTCCTGCTCAGTGGAAGAGGTATAAGGAATGAGGTGATCCCAAGAGTTACGGCTTAAGGACCATATTAAAGACCACCTCCAGTGATAAAATGTCTTAAAACATGAAAGCAAAGCAGTATTTTACTTGAACAGAAGCTTTTTTTCTTTTCACTGTCCACTTAAGAGAATTCTAGATAAGAATCCTGAAGTCAAGCAAGACACCACCAGCACACTGGAATCTATGCCACTCCTGAGGCCCGTGCTCCAGCTGAAAATAACTCGAGTGTGCTGGCCACACATGTCCCCCTGTGCCTTGTTGCTCAGCTTTTCTTCCAGGTAACTCTTTCCCTTCTCCTTTTCCTAAACTGTGGTGGATGACTTCCAAAAGATGTTAAAAAAGGAAACAGAATTCAGTTAACTGATTATTTTGTGAGAACCTTATTTCTCTGGAAGTTCTGCCTTTACCAGCCAACACCATAACAGAAGTCCTGACAGTAAGAGCTGGAGTCTCAGATCTCAGGGCTGCCCATGCCATTCCACAGCAATGCCTCAATGCTCTTGGACTGCCCTGCTTTGCTAAATGTCAGGAGATCAAAGCTCCAGCCATGCTGAAGGATTTGAAGCACAATTGGCCATTTTCTGATCATCTCAAGGGCTTTTGAGAGCAGGAGGAAACCAAATGACAGCTAGTGGATCGAGGAGGGCTTGACCTGGGGATAAAGTGAAGGGGTGCAATAATCTCCATCCTGATCTTGGTGCTGTGCAGCAGCTTCCCTGATGTGCTTTGTCACCAAGTGAACCACTCTGACCAAAGATTTTTTGCCTACCCCACTTAGAGCAAAGCCTGGGGTTCTGTTAAACATCTGAATTCTCCCCTAAAACCCTTGCTTTTCATTAATTAATGACTACTTTCATCCACACTACAATCACTGATAAACTTGCCATATTTCTGTACACTGTCCTTTCTTTGGTACTCTGATTTGTTGCTTCCAAAAGCAAAACATATTCAATTTTCTAGATCTGAAACATTTCTTACTTAAATTACAGACTTTCTTCTTTGAAAAAAATTTAATGCATGACTTCTCTTTGTTTGGCTTTGTTGTGAGGGAAGGAATGGCCTGGCTGCCAAGCTGTTTTTTTTCAGAGAGCATTGGATGGGTATATCAGTTAGATTTTTGCTTTTCCTTCTTTGAAGGAAAGATAAAACTAGCTAATGAGTTGCAGAGTTTCTCTGGGCAATGGCCTCTTTATGCTTGTTGTTTAAACCAGCATATGCAGTATTATCCACAAACCTTATTAAGGAAAAATGTTTTAATGTCCTTTTATCAGAGACATTACACATATCTTTCCAGTGGAGGAAAAGCAGCTGAGCTAAATTTCTAATTTTTCTAAAACAAGAAAGAGACTATCAGAGTCTCTTCTCAAGAGATCCCATGAGGATTTATTCCCTGATTTATTCCCAATATATAATGTCCCAACTGAATGCAGCCATACTTTTGGTATACCATTGGGCTGGAGAAGATCTTGAACTTAAAAGACTTGACAGCAATACACCAGTGGTATTTCAGTGTGGAGAGAAGAAACAGTCATTGGATTTAAGATAAACCATACAGTGAACAGAGGTAGGAAAGCTCATCATGATGAAGACAATAAGTGAAAGAAACTCTACTCACCATTTCAGGATTGTATACGAAGTTCTAAACACTAATGAAAGTAGCTGCACCGAAATACAGCATGTCACCTGAACATTCTACCTGAAATTGAAAAATCCCAGGCTGTGAGTTGATAACAGGATCAGTTGAAAGAAACATTGGGGTAGGAGACCAGCTCTTGTTATGCAGACAAGGAAGGATTTGCATCTGAGCTCTGAAAAACAGAAGGAACTGAGCAGTAGGCTGTGCAGTCAAGTAGATAGCCAAGAAAAATGGAAAGGAACTGAAAAACAGAAAGGATAAAAATAATCCTTCTTAGAAAGTTACTCATCTTCTAGTCAGGATGGAAAGGCTACTAAGGAAGGGGTTTAGAAACAGTGGCAGCAGAAATCAAACAGTCTGGTGTATTTGTAAAAAAGGTACACAGTTATTCTACTGTGACTTGGCTGTGAATTGAACAAATAAGAAAAGTGCAATTAGAAGTTTTTGAGAGATTTACAAAGCAGCTCTCTGTTTAAAGTGTTCATATGGTGAAGGAAAGGTGGAGGGTATTTGAAAGTGGATGCAAGTTGTTTATAATACAAGCATTAAAGACAGTATGCTTTTGTTTTGTTGGCATTCAGAAAAGACATCTGAATAACCTGTCATCTCCACCAGTTGTTCCAGTAAACTTATTCCTCTTTCCCAAGGAAGCTGCGTGTGACTGGGCTCTGAAGCAACTGCTGAGTTACAATGTCACAAGTAACACAGAATTGCTGTCTGTTCTTGTTCTCTGGCACAGTCAGCATTTTCACTTAATTTAGATTGTAGTTGACATGGCTCATGCTTTCAGCTCTAGCAATCCTCTGTCTGGCCCTTTGAATTGGCCAAGGGACCCCCTGTATAAATACACTTACAGGATTTTGTGTCAAGGGATCTTCTAGCTAGGTCTTGAACGGTCAGCACAGCTTCAGTTTGGTTGATTTCCCTGAATTGACAAGGAACACAACAGTGAAGAAAAATCCCACTCCTCCCATCCCACGGGCTGGCTAATATCTGAGGTGCTAATGCACCTCATTAGGCTTCCAGACTGACACAGCAGCTTGCCAGGAGAAGAAAGGACTTGGTGTCCTTGATGTGTCTGTTTTATAGTACCATCAGACCTAGCAGAGCTCACCACTCTGAACGTGCTTGTCAGTGTTCATTCCCGCAAGCACATCTAAGCACCTTGATTTTAAGTTCTAAAGCAACATATATCCCTAGCAGGAAAGAGGGAAAAAAAAAAAAAAAAAAAAACCAAAAGTGAAAGAAATAAATTCAGAGTCTTAATAAAACAATCAGAAGTAGAAAGAATAATGAAACATTGGAAATGATTTATGGTTGCAATGGATCACTCTCTATGTCTTTACAGAAAGAAAATATCCAAATTACCTCAGCTTTCATAGTCATATTCCCAGTGACTGCAGATGAGGAACTTTTAAATGTATGTTTAGGACTGGAAATGGTTATAAAAGATCAGAGGCTTTCAAAACTCACTGTGTGTACCAGGTCTAGTGAGTGCAATGCCAAGAGAAATATATGAAATCTGATCTGACAGTTTCATAATTTTCTTTTGTTTGAGGAGATCCCTGTGCAATGAAAAGGTACAGCAATGTGCCAGGACTAAGAGTTAGTGGAAAGGACTCAGAGGTGAAGACCACTAGGCAGTTTCTCACTGGCAAAACATTAAAAAAAAAAAAATAAAAAGAATTAACTACATTAAGAAATCCCAGGGAGTATGGTTTAGATTAAAGGACAGTCTTTTCAACCAGGCCGCTGGAAGGTTGATGTAGCACTGTTCCTGCAGATGTTTGGAAACTATTTCACAAACTCTACTTTTGGAGAGGGCTTCTAAAGGCTGTTGCTCTTCCACTGCTCTGTGCCACCTTCAATTTTTCTTTAACCTAAAATAGAAAAAAAAATTGAAACAAAAGCTTATTTTTAAATAGGAGGGATGTTTTAAAAGAAACACAGTAAAACATAAGATATTATAGTCCAAATCCCATAGATCCTGTATCTATAATAGGCTGGCACCTCTCCTTTTACCTATATACAATAAAAATGAAGTAAAAGCAAATCTGTCAAAACTCAGCAGGTTTAATGCAGTCCCTTGGTTCATACTGGCTGCATGTGAACCATGCACAGAGCAATAAATTGCTATACTGAAATCTTAGGAGTTCAGACCTGGCTGTGTGGTTTATCTTTAAAAGTCTGATTCAATATTATGCTCTGGCTGTTGATTGTTAGCAGACAGTGTACCTGGCACCTGTACTTCAGCCCTTCTCAGATATATTCCGAGGTGGACCATATTCTCTTGAACATTAAGCACACAAAAAGGTTACTTAAGTAAGATCTAAGTAAGGGAGCCTGTGTTTGGGCCAAATTCTGGGCCAATGCTCTGAAATTCTGTTAATTAGTTGTGCAACTTTTTGTTCAATTCTGACTTTTGATGAGGAGCTTTGAGTGTTCTTCAAGTCAAGAAGCAAGAGCTCCATCTTCTCAAACAAAAACAAACCTGGTGAGTGGTGCCAGTTGAGCTCTGAAAATGACAACTCCACGCTACTTATGAACTGTCTACTACATTTTCCTGCAGCAGAGGAGAAATGCTCAGTGTTGCTGTTTCCCTGCCTGCTCCCTGTTTCTGACTTCCTGCATTTTTGTGTATCTTTCTGATGTCTCTCAAAGACTCTCTCGTTGTCTGGAAAAGATGTTACCTCATGGCAATACCCAAGGAAACAGTTTCTCCTTTCCTTTCCACATTTCACTGCTGCAAGTGCAAGATGTGATGAGGGATGGCTCTTGTCTTAATGAAAGAGAGCGAAGGTCCCCTTGACTTCACCAGGGTCAAAACTTCACCCTTGGGGACCTATTGGAGAAATGGGAAGGAATTTCCATTTTCACAGAGAATTTGCAACCCTTAATTGTGTTGAAACCTCAAATATTTTCTTCACGGGGCAAAGTTCGTCTCTTATTTCAGATGAATGTAGTGGCTGAGCGTCATCTGCTGCTGGAAATTCTTTGGAAGTGACTTAGAACTAAAACAGGCATAAAAGAGAAGCAGGGTGGGAAAGGGTTGTTTGCTATTAAACACCAACACAAACCAAGCTGGGCTCTTTGTCTGTGCCCTTCCTCCTTTTTGTTCACACACTCCTCTTCACCCTCCAGACAGCCTTAGAATGCTAATTTTTCTAATCACTTGGAGAATGAAAACTATTTTATAAACCAACCAAAATATTATTTTAAACCTCATTTAATGAGAGTGGATCCACACTACAAATAAAGTCCCGATCCTTCCCTTCTTAACATTCAAAAATATTATTTCCCACACCCTATATAACCCGTCACTGTCAAATTCAAAGCAAATACTTGTAAACATTTTCAAAAAAGGATGTTTATACAAACTGACAGGAGGGATTTATGTAGAAATGGTTTTAAATGTAAGTCTATTTGTCTCTTTTCACAGATATTTCGGATTTCTCTTCACATAGCAGCAGATAATATGGATGCCCAGAAAGAATTATTGCAATGATACTGTACTGATAAAGATCTAATTGTGTTATTCTTTCTTGGGGTTTCCATTACTTTCTGAACTTTAAGGTCTTCAATTATTATGTTTTTCTCAAGGGTAAAATATGCATGTAACCCTCAGTTAGCATTAAGAACAATGTGCAAACCTTCACACATCAAAGATGTGACTACGTGCTTTTGTTTTCCTAATGGTTTGAGAGAAAATCTTAATAAATCTACATGAGATTTCTTTCTATTTTCCTTTTTTTTCTGTGTCTCTTTCTTACATTTTGTTGTCTTGATTAGATAAAAAATAATAGGAGGCTGTCAATAGCTTTCTTTTCAGGTCGTCTCTGTCTCTTTCTAAATTAGCTACAGACGGCTTTTTGTAGCTTTATAGCCAGCCTGACCTAATTTAATTACCATGACTTGTGTGGCTTAAAGATAAATAGTTTTATTCAGCCTGCCTACTTTTGTAAAAGTTTTCCCTTTCACACATCTCTCTATATTTTGGCATTCAGGATTCTTGTCCTCTGTTCTTCGGTAGGTTAACACAAGGTTGGTTTATAGCATTGTCCTTATTCTGACAAAAAGGCCTTTGATGCCTTTAGTCCCTCCCTTGCTCTGAGTCTGGGAGCCTCTGTGGGACACAAATGAACACTCACTGGAGCACGAGATGGAAAATACAACCCTGTGTCCATCACCAGGGAAGAAATCCTCAGAGCTTGTTCCTTTAATGCTACCGCCCAAGACTTTTTCTTATTTTAGGAAAATAATTCAGAAATCAAAGTTAAGACTTGTCTACAGATTATGATGAACTGACATAAGTGGCTAGAAGACCTCCAGTAACATAACTCTAGCATGAAAATGCCTTCAAGCTGTCTGAGAACACAAATGCTTTACACAGAGATATCCCTGATGCACAGATCTCTGAGGTTCATGCCAAGATCACTGGCAAATCCTTCTAGCACCCTGTTGGCCACCATTAAATACAGAAAGCAAGGAACCAGCTTATAAACTCCAAAATCCTACTTAAAAGAAGGGATTGTCATTCCTCTCTGTGCAAATGGAGGGAGATTGACCAGAAAATGCTGAGTGATATTTAGTATCACTCATTCCTGTAATCACTGCATTTTTTTTTTTTTTTTAAATCTCACATATAAAACTGAGATGGATGTACAAGGACTACCTCCATATAAACATGTCATGTTTTGGCTAAATACATTTTGCAGTAGCTTAGAAATAATTCTTTTGAGGCTTATTGCAGTTCTTCATACAAATGTAGATACAGAATTTGAAGTGTCACTTCTTGGGTCATCTGTGTGTCATCTTAATGCTGCTTAGAAGAGCCTCAATCCCCTTTTTAAAAGTCTCTTGAGTTTAAAATGAGAATATTTGAGGTCCTTCGCAAAGGAAATTGACAGCACTAAGTCTGACCTATCACAGGTTTTAATAAAAAGAATAAACTGTGAAACTTAAAAGGAAACCCAACAAATGTGTTTTATGAATACATGCACAATATTTTTGTTACAATCAAATAAAATGCTAATATGTGCCAGACACCTTGAAGTTGCTCTCCTGTGTCTAATTCTCCTGAGCTGGATTTAAATTAATCTCCTAGTATTTTGCCTCTTCCCACCCTTGTTAATAAAATAACAAAAGTAATTGATACCAACCACACCTAAGCAAATAGTTAAATAAAAACACTTTCAAGCCTTTGCTTCACACTATTGGACACCTTTACCTGTAATCACAATAATGTTCTATTAAATAAATTTACATGCACACAATTTTATTTCAATATATAAAATGTTTTCAAGTGAAATATTCAAATGCCTTGGTCTATTTATCTGATGGCAATATTCCCAAGAATTTACATGAAACTAATCTGAATAGTTGTAAAGCTCCCAAGAAGCTGATTTGCTTCAGAACATTTTATGACATTTCTGTAGGTGTAGAAAAAATCCAAATCCAGGCCTTTCACAGAAACTTTTCAAGAAATATTGCAATCCTCAACAGTTAACACATTTTGAGAAAATTCAAAACTGGAGGGCCTGAGGATGTATTTCTCATACAAACAGGTTCACCTGCAAAGGAATAATTCTGAGACATCCAGCTGGAGACATCTGAGTGCTTCAGCCATGCTTCCCCATTGCCCTTTTACTATTTAATACTTGGAACTTTTCCTTGACTGAACTGGTGTATAACTCATGAATACAAACAGACCAGTGCTTGACAGCTGAGGCAGGTGCTATCCTTGCCTTTAGCCCTACCTGCTTCCTGTGTCCCATTGCCTGGATGGAAGGAAAAGATGAGCGAGAAGAGACAGGGAAGCACTTCTTAAATGGCTCAGGCTCAGCTTACTATGGTAATTTACACCCACAGTCTAATTATTAAAAAAAAAAATAGCACACTTTATAATAAAGAAGGCACAAGCAGTGGATAAGAATGGCAGAAACAGACACACATAAAATAGGATAGGAAATTTGTGTGGGACATGGAATCTGTGCAGAAGGACTCAAATGGGGGTACCTGGGCTCCTTGAGAAGTTCTTCTGAAAAAGGCAGAATGTTCCTGGCAACAGTGACTGGTCACTTCTGCTCTTCTTCCAAGAAAGATCTAAATCTGCTTCCTTTATGTGTCCAGAGTATTTTGATTTTAAATGCTTCACAAAAGGATACTAGTAGACAGTACAATGGTCCTGGACCTCATGTGGGGTCTATAGGTAGTTTCACATTCCCTAAAAGTAATAAAAGAACAACCACAGATGAATTTTAGAAAATATAGTTCCTTATTTACATATATATCTTTGCTACACCCTGTAAAAAAATTATGTCATAATGAGATATGCCATGATAAAAAAAAAAAAAAAGAACAATTCTCTGGTTTGAACGTGGATCAAACACCAACTGCACTTGGCAGAAGCACACATCTGATCATTAGTGCAGCCAGATTCCAGGAAACAAAGGACAGAATATGTCACAGATTCCACTGCTCTCATCATGCACAGAAAACAGCTGATATTTTGAGGCTCTGAGGTTACAACATGTGGTTCTTCTAAAGAGCAGACAGACAGCAACCTTGAGGGGCTTGTTTTGTTTTCCAACTGAAATCTGACATGCATTACATGTGAACATTTGGAAGTCATATTGTTCATTGTGCCTTACATATAATTGCTTGAACTTTTACAGTGTGCAGTCATTAAACTGCCTTCCACAATAATGGAGCACTTAAGAGAACCCTCACCCACATGTGACCAGTAAAGAGGAGTAAGGATCTAATTCTGCAAACACTTTGTCCTTCAGCAGAGATGCACAAGTGCCCTCTTTGAATCAGGGTGATGCTTGCAGTGGAAGCAGGCCACCCCATGATCTATGGACACATAAACACATACAAGGATAAATTATTTCTGGCACAGATTTACTCCACTCAAGATTGTCTGAGCAGCAGGGAGACATCTGACATGTAAAACAGTAGGCCCCAGCCAATTAGGCTGTGTCAGATAAGAACCTTTTCGTGTGGTCTCTTGCTTCGATGATTTCATGTTCTCCTCTGACTTCACTGAAACCTATTTTTTATCAACTGGGATTCTGGCATTCTTTCCAGGTGCAACAAAGGAATAGCCTGTTTGGAAGGAAGGAAGGATGATATGTGTGCCTTGTTTCTGTCTTATGGGAAGCAATGTCTTTGTAGTTCTGTTCCTCAAAAAAAAAACCAAAAACAAACAAACAAACAATGTGATCAGGGAAAGTATTTTAATATCCATACAACTGTACCCTTTCAAAGCATCACAGGGGATTCACCCATTAATATCTAATTAATATCTAATATCTAATAGCAACAGGACTCAAGTATGCTGCTTTGGAAATCTGCCTTGCCATAGTTGTGCAGAAAAAGTTAATATTAAAATAGTCAAGGAAAGTTTAGAAAATCTCCCTCATAATGAATATCTTGTATTGCTTTTTATATCTGTGCATTCCTACTTTCCCAAAGTTAAGAAAAGTAAAATCCTTCTAAGCCAACATCTCCAAGGTGCATAGAGACCTGTGGGGAGTGCTAGGTTGTTGAGGTGGCAGTGTTTTAGTTCCTGTTCCAGCTAGAGGAATTTGTAAAATTTTAAACTGGTACTTGCATTATTCCACTACATCAGCAAAAGCAGCACCTCATGCTTCTCTCAGTAATAATTTCACAACATGAACCTTAATTTTCATATACACCCTTAAAAAAATTCCCATTCCCTTCAATCTTGTCGCTCTGCATTAAAAGAAAAAGCTAGAAAGGCTTCATTCTACTGATGGGAGTGGAATATTCTGAGTGGCAGATGGAACAGCTCCTGAAACAACTTGCCCCATGGTAAAGGCAGTAATTCAACAAAGGTTATAGGAAATATTAGAACAAATGTTATAGGAAGAAAGAACTACCTTCTCATTTACTTCTACCTTAAATTAAAAATTGAAAGGCCTGGCAAAAAATCCAGAAAAAAAAATTATGGTTCTTTTAAGTATAGGGTAGAAATCACTTTCTCAGGCCTTACAGGAGGGATTTTTATTTTCTTCTTCTTGTTAACTTGACTTATTTTTATGTATCCTCAGAAGCTGCAGTCAAATTTCACACAAAAATTACTTCCAACAAAAGAGGTTCATACGTCTGGATAGAAAACAAGAAAAATTCAGATCCAAATTCCTCCTTTACTTCCATGACCTAGGGCAACTACTGCTGCTTTTTAAAGTCTGCATGCTTCTCCTGTCCCTGGTGATTGTTATTAATACAGGTTAGGGAACGTGGTGATAAAGATCAATTCCCAGCCCAGAAAAGAAACATTAACTGCTTCTTTCATGTCTTCCATAGCAAGTGAGCAGCTACAATTTCAAATGATCCCCAGATGTTTACTACTCCTGGTGCTCAAAAGCAGTGTAGGTTTTCTCCAGAGCCATGTTGGGTACTTCTAATTATCCTGCAGACTTCAACCCCTTGTCCTCAGAAGAAAATGCAAAGGTCAAATAGAAAGCTTGTGTAGTGTAGAAGTTCCCAAGGAAAAATAAACCAAGGATGGTCTCCTACTATTGGCCAGCTTAAGCTGTGCCTCTGCAAATTAATGCAAGGAATTCCTACAGAGATGGGTATGGGAACACTACAAGCTTGTCACTTAATTACAGAGAGATTTCATGAGTCCAGTAAAAGCGAAATGGCTGAGATTTCTCACAAAAACGATGCTGTTTTTCTGGTTCTTTACAGCAGTGTTTTCCTATTTCTTCTGTCTCAGAGCTTGGACACAGGATAGTCCACCTACATTTGTAAACATGATAACAAAAAAATGAAAAAAAAATTATTTCCACCTTAGATAATATAGGATTAAGAATAATAAGAACAATTTTCATTCTACTTCTCTTTCCTTTCCGCTTTGTCCCAATTAATCCCCAATGATGCGAAGACTTTCCTTTACCAAAGCTTAGTTCCACTGGAAGCAATTAATAGTGATAAAAACAGGTGCTTTCCAAGAGCTTGAAACAGCTTTTTATCAGAAGAGCCCAACAATTTTGTCATTATTATAACCAAGTAAGTAAAGACAGAAGAACATGCCATACAGAACATACAAGTACTTCACCTTCTTGAATGTGATCTTCTGTCCCATTCTTCTCTTCTCTCATCTTCTGAGGAACATTGGTCAAAAGATTTAGTACTGCATAAACAGCAGAGATGGAGAAAAAATATTCCAAACATTGGTAGGATTCAAACCCAATTTCTTACAGCTGCTACAGCATGTATGACTTAGAAAATGAAAAACAAAATTAAATGAAATAATGAAAAACAAAAGCCTCTGATCCTCATTTCAGAACAATTATTCTGATTGAGCACTCAGGTAACTGAGCCAGGCTCCTCTTTAAGAATGAGAAGATGCCAATATGACCTAACTGGATTAGTCCACAAGGAAATTAAACATTTACATGTATTGTTACATTTCTTCTTTCATGCCAAATAGGCAGGCCTCAAATTAACTTCTCTGCTCATACGTAATGGTCAGAATTAATCAAGTTGTTCAGTCTCTGCAGGATCTGATCAAAATACTCTCTGAAAGGTACTTTGAACAGAGGATGGAAATATTTGACCCTATTTCCTTTGATGATAACTGAGAAGGTGGTAGGATGGCCTTGTACACAAAAATGTGTTCCCAGTGGGAACAGCAACTTTTGGGAAAGATCATGTTATAACACAGCACAGTTCTCCCAGTCAGTGCCCTGGCTCAACATGAAGTTAATCTATATTCTACTGCAAAAATATTAAACATCTATTTCTGAACAGAACAACATCTAGTTCATATGTGAAACATTTTCATCTGCTAGCATATAAATGCTGATGAGTGTTGAATTAATAGTCTGTTAATTCCTGGGTACTATTAGCCATAGATTTTGTTCAAATTGAACTGAAAATTCACTTATTCAATAATTCCCGACTACATGCAATCTTACTTTTATTAAAGTCGTGTTACTCACTGATCAATTTCACCCAGATTATCAAAACCAGGTGGAATGGCTCTGAAATGCAAACACCACAGCCAGAGGTCTTCCAATGTAAAGGGGCAAATCTTCCTGCTGGGAAAGCTGAAAAAGACAATGAAGTGCATCACTGAATCTCTATTTACCAGGGAAAGGCACATCTATAAGCCTTAAGAAGTAAATACAAATTGAAATCTCTCTTCCATAGCCCTGGAATGTGAAAGAGACATTAGGACTATGCTGACAATTTGGTATTGTGGTTTGCTGAGAGAAAATGGTAAAACAGCTCAAAAGCAACTTAATAATTTCCTCACTGTTTCTCCCACTTGCAATTCACTTTATTTCAAGTTTTCTTTCCCCATTCCCAAGACTTTCAAATTTTTGTTTTAGCACTTAAAGAAATCTTTAATTTGCAGATTTCCCTTTCTTTCCTTCTGTTTTTGCAATCCAGCAATTGTTTCCCTCCCATTTCACCTTGGGGAAAGTACATTTTCATAACTGGTTATATGGTTATAGAGGAGAAACATGAAAACATGTGGAAAAAATACATATAAGTATCAAAAGTAATTTTCTTAACTTTAAGAATTGCAGAACTATCTTCATCTGAAAATAAATTTCTTTGATAGGGATCCTGCTTCCAAGAGAATTTCTATTGTTAATTAATAAAATTTTGCTCCAAAATACCAATAATTTATAATTAAACATGGCACCACTTGGTTACTTGTAACATCAAGGATTTTCCAAGTCCTCCTGGGTTAAGTTGTCTTAAAATCAAGATAGACCTCAGAGTTTAAAGAGCTCTTGTGTAGCCACCCAGTGAGGACATACAGGGAAGCACAACAGAAACAAGCTTCCAGCTGCACATTTCCTCGGGATTATCTGGCCAGTAAAAATCACAGGCAGGAATGCACAGTCCCCTTCTGCCCTGAGAGCATTACACATTGTGATTCTTTCTAGGGATTAAGATACAAGGTCTTCATTAACTCTTCAAAAGTAGATAAAAGCACACCTAAACTAGTCATGACAGGAATGAGACTTAACTGCATGCACAGAATCAAAAGGAGATTTATAGACTTCCCAGAAAATGACCAATTGCCAAAAAAGCATCCTTCTACTTGCCCATCATCAGGACAGGTGGTTACAACTCTAAGATACCAACCTGTGGAGACCGTGGGGCTTTTAAAATATTCTTTCATGTCCAAGATTATTAATGTATCATTCTTAGGTATTATTTTTCTACAGATTAGCTTGTGTTTTCCATATGGATTCTAAATGAGATTGCAGCAGTGTGACCTCAATTTTTTTTTTTTCCTTCCTTTTTGATTTTTTTATCACTTAGCACAGATTTTAAGATAGGAAATAATAGCAAGCTTATTGGGCTTGAAGACAATCTCTAGTGGTGTAGACTTTAGCTGGGGTGTGGCTGTTGATAAGTCTGTGATCTTTAGGAGACTAAAGTCAGCCAGAGAGCCCACTTACTCAAAGCAAAATAATTGTTATTGTAAATATCCTAGGATCTGTAAAATCCATGGTTTCTAAAATGAATCTCCTTTACTCCACAAAAGATGGCTCTGAGGATTATGCATCTGGGAAGTTGCAAAGAGCACTCTACTATAGGCAGTTCTACAGACCAAATTCTTCCCTCTTGCAGATTACAAAAGCAGCGGGTTTCACCAGCAGCATCTGCTGGGGAACTGGGAAGCACTTCCTGGGGACACTTCATGCAGTAGGATATCATTTAGTAACAGCTTTTAGCAGTAAAATGACACCTTGTACCTTTCAAACACTGGGGTTTGCTGGCATAGTCTGACGACTTCCACTTGGGCACACACAATGGCAGAGGAACTGAGCCCACAGATCGCTCCATTGTGTTACCCAATCGCACAACTGCCCCTAAAATACAAACAGGGGACAAGTGTAGACACTGTCCTGAGACAAAGTGAAACCAGCTCAAGCAGATGGATAAAAGTACAGGTGTAGTACACTCTCTTTCCACCTTCCCCACATTTCCATTTCTTGAGCATCCACTGAAGTCTTAGGGATGAACGACACAGTGTAAGAGTGAAGAATTATGTTTTGTGTCCTTTAGATGAGATGCATAGTAGCAAATGGGAGAGCTGCTTGTTTGTAGGCAGATAAATTTTTATTTCATCTGTGATAACTGCATCTCATCAAACCACACCTGATTTAACTATTTCCTTAAAATGTATTGATTTCTGAAATAGAGATCCGGAATAGTTGAAGAAGCACATTATTGTTTGTTTCATTCCTGCAATGTTCTGGATGCAAAGCCAATTCCCTGTGTTTCAGCATGCTCTCTTACAAGGTAATGATTTGAATTTCTTAAAATGTTGTTCATCTCTGAAGCTGACCAGGAATGAAGGCACAAAGTCCTGGCTGGTGAAAAGCTGCAGAAAAAGCAAGTATGACCAAGAGCCACCAGGATACAACCTATTCCCTGTGCAAGTGCAGTCAGCCAGGACAGCAACCCAAGCAAACAGAAAATGTGGTGCAGATGAACAAGACAATTGCAAAATAAAATAAACAGGCTTTTACAGGAAGCAGAATGTTTAGCTTGTCCTTACACAATTCAAGCTACATTTGCCAGTGAACATGCTTTCAACTAATAAAGATCTCCACTGACCACATTTTATAAGAAATTGGAGAATAATCAGGTTTTTTATGATAGAAATGAGTACATCAAGTGCTTTGTAGGAGCTCATACAATCTACTGTAACACTGTTGGCTTACTGAACACTTTGAAACAGAAACTGAGCATTTCAGCAGAAGTTAACCCAGCTCAAGAGTCCTTGAAATCAGCTTTTATTCATCAGCCATAGATTATCTACTCTCCTGACTACTCCTCCTTTTCTGCACTATTATTATTATTCATGATTTGGCAGCAGCCAAGAAATTCCTCTGGGTTTCAGTGATGAAGTGCCTCATTTGGACTAATTGTTTCATTTACTTTAAAAGAACAATGAAATATGTCAAAGCACATTTACTCTTTTGAGGCCACTTTTGAATATCTGTTCCCTGTTGTTTAAATTTTTGGAACTGAACATTTTAGACTGAGCTTCCAAAAATATTTTAAGTCAGAGCAGCACACAGGAGACAAGGTGAAATGAGCATCAAAGCTGTTGCATTTGTGCTGCTGCACATTTCACCTGGATGTCACTAATTTTCCCAGATTGCCTTGGCAGATCTCAGATATGACATGGGTTGTACATCATGGGTCGTAAGAATGTGGTTCAGGTTAAGAGTATTCTGTTTGGCCCCCCAAAAAATCAAAAACCATTATTTCAATGTGTACTTTTCCTTGGGCTCTGCCTGGACTGGTATCCATTTACACACTGCTCTCCAGTCCCCCATCCCAGTGCCTGTGTGGCTAACAAATTAAAGCTTTAGTACCCAGAGAAGGTAATGTACCTTTTTATTGTAAAATTTTATGGCATTATTTCCTTATTATATCAGTACTCAAGAAGAATGTTAAGCACCATTTGAATTCAACTATTTGAATCTTTCTGGAGACTATGCAGTTGTTAAGGGAATACAAAATAGACCTCTGTCATTCTTTAAGCTGAACTTCTTGTCTCACAGACAAGCCACCTGTGATGCTAATTCTGTGATATATTATAAGCTTTTGTGTAAGAATGAAAGGAGTTTGTAAGGTGCTACAGATGATTAACCACAAGACAAGTAGAAAAAATATATTTTCACCCCTTTAGTATTAACCAAATTTAAGACTAATTTGTTGTCTGTCAAACGATATTTAAAACCAGAGGACACTTGAATTTTAAATGGCATTACTCTGAGAATTAGCCTGTTACAATAAAGAGTAGATGAGTTCATTTGATATTTTTTTTTCTGCAGGCCACAAAATAAATAGTATTTTGTGTCATGTCCTTCCTTTAACTTGCAGTCAAACAGTTTATAGCCTTTTCCTTAATACTTGAAGAAAGCTGAGGAAAAGCTCTCATACTGTCAGTTCTATTTTCTCTTGGGAATTCACAGTGAAAGCATCTTTCACAAACCACTTGGGCTGTAAAAAAGACTTGAGCTCCAGCTCATAGTGTAAGAAGCAAAGAATATTTTGACACTCATAAGATAACTGGAATGGAGCTGTCCAGGCTCTCTCCAGTGCCCACAGGAAGATGTGAAATAATGGCCAAGAGCAGGTGAGGCAAGTCCTTATCTTGCATGGGTCAAGAAACAACAACAAGCTGATATTGATGATGGCAGGACCAAAAAGAAACTCAAGTGCTTCATTATAAAATCATCGCTCCAGCAGCAGCCTAGCACCCTCCCTGATTCTAGGCCTGCTGGCCAGTCTAAAGATTTCTCCACAGGGCAGAAAAAAGATTATTGAGCACATAAATCATCATTTACCCTGAGAGTACACCTCATAAACTCTATTGCAAAGGGAGCTCTGTGAAGGCAGATCCTATAACACCATGTTTTCAAAAGGTATTTACCAAAAGCCTATGGCTGAAGACCAGAAGTGCAGTTCAAGACCACATGCACAGGCATCTGACAGAGCAAGATGTTTGCAATCTAGTAACCCCACCCACATCCCTCCATCTATCCACCCTTCTCCTATTTCACTTTGCTAGAGACAAGGAAATACTCCACTTTTCACTGTAACTTCTCTAGGTCCATGATTTCCTCTAGTTTCCTATCATCAGGTTTACTCAAGGCAGCTCCTCATATCAACCACCATTTTCTGACAGAGCAGAACCAAGAGCCTGAGGCTCCAGTAAAACACGCTTGTCCTATCTCAAAACCTTGCTGAACACAGGTTTCTACTTTTATTTATTATTCACATTAAGAGTTTCAAGCAAGTAATCTCCAGTACTCTGGTATATGACACCTTTTGTGCAACTTTTGCTCCAAGTCAACAGGTTTTGTTCCTTTACCAGTTTTAGACTCTCTTTACACCTCTTTGTTTTTTGTCTTTCTAGACAAATTAATAGATTCCTTTCACAAGAGTTTGTCCATGTTTTTGTTTTCCTTCTTCTGTGTCTTTTGTACAGCCTAACTCTTCAAGTGGTGTCCCTTGACTTAATTCCACACTGTAGCTTCCTTCACATAGCATTTGCAATGCT